GTTAAAGAAGTATGGGCTGGATGAATGGACTATAAGGTGGATAGAAAGCTGGCTAGATCGTCGGGCTCAACGGGTAGTGATCAATGGCTCCATGTCTAGATGGCAGCCGGTTTCAAGCAGAGTGCCCCAAGGGTCGGTCCTGGGGCCGGTTTTGTTCAATATCTTTATTAATGATCTGGAGGATGGTGTGGACTGCACTCTCAGCAAGTTTGCAGATGACACTAAACTGAGAGGTGTGGTAGATACACTAGAAGGTAGGGATCGGATACAGAGGGACCTAGACAAATTAGAGGATTGGGCCAAAAAAAAAAACTGATGAGGTTCAACAAGGACAAGTGCAGAGTCCTGCACTTAGGACGGAAGAACCCCATGCACTGCTACAGACTAGGGACCGAATGGCTAGGTAGCAGTTCTGCAGAAAAGGACCTAGGGGTTACAGTAGACGAGAAGCTGGATATGAGTCAACAGTGTGCTCTTGTTGCCAAGAAGACTAACAGCATTTTGGGCTGTATAAGTAGGGCCATTGCCAGCAGATCGAGGAACGTGATCGTTCCCCTTTATTCGACATTGGTGAGGCCTCATCTGGAGTACTGTGTCCAGTTTTGGGCCCCACACTACAAAAAGGATGTGGAAAAATTGGAAAGAGTCCAGCGGAGGGCAACAAAAATGATTAGGGGTCTGGAGCACATGACTTATGAGGAGAGGCTGAGGGAACTGGGATTGTTTAGTCTCCAGAAGAGAAGAATGAGGGGGGATTTGATAGCTGCTTTCAACTACCTGAGGGGGTGTTCCAAAGAGGATGGAGCTCGGCTGTTCTCAGTGGTGGCAGATGACAGAACAAGGAGCAATGGTCTCAAGTTGCAATGGGGGAGGTCTAGGATGGATATTAGGAAACACTATTTCACTAGGAGGGTGGTGAAGCACTGGAATGGGTTACCTAGGGAGGTGGTGGAGTCTCCTTCCTTGGAGGTTTTTAAGGCCCGGCTTGACAAAGTCCTGTCTGGGATGATTTAGTTGGGAATTGGTCCTGCTTTGAGCAGGGGGTTGGACTAGATGACTTCCTGAGGTCCCTTCCAACCCTGATATTCTATGATTCTATGATATTACAGAGCCTCTCCTTTTGAATTAAGTATTTTTCTCATTTTCTTTGGTCAGAAGTCGCATATATTTAGTCTTCTGAAGTTAGTATCTATCTTTTATCTACTTGGCACCAGAGAATAATGAATGAGACCTCCTCCTCAAGGCCCTTCATTTTCAGTTTTTATTTATTTTTACAAATTTTATTCCCAGTTTTCACACAAGCCTTTTTTTTTAAACAGATTTTCATCATATTTTGGAAGTGCCAGAACTCCCCAGCCCCATCTCCCTGCTCCAGGAGACATGGATGCTAGGCAGCCCGGGCCACTCAGTGTACTGAGCCACCATCTCTCTCCCAGAGTGGACCCCGAAGGAGAAGAGGTGAGGGAGATAAGAGCACCATCTCCTCATGCTGCCTCCTCCACCTCTTCCATTTCCAGGCCTGCCCCAAGAGAGACGAAGACTCTGTAACCAAGTTACTGACATACCATTTCTCCTTCCAAAAGAGGGTGTTGGCTCACAAGTCCCAGAAAGACTCGAGTGTTGGTGTCCATATTGCTGTTAATCCCATGTCCACCACATACATATTACCAGCTTTATAGATAGCAAGGATAGTTATCAGCATGCAAAGCGAATCTAAGTTAGTGAATTACTTTTCATGTCAAAATGGGTCAAAAACAAAAAATCATCTGATGTTTTACAACGAAAGGATTTTTTCCAAAGTTAAAAAAAAAAAACAATCAGGAGAAGAGAGTGATATTTACCCAGAAAACTGAAAAGTTAGTTTTTGCACTGATTTTCATGTGTTTAATGTTTGTAACAAACACTGATACATTCCTGGGAAATTTTAAACAAAATAAAAACCGAAAATGAAAGGCCCCAGATGTCCTTCACTAGCAATGCATTTCACAACAGAAAATCCTTATACCCATCAAACGTTACTGAACCTTCAACCTTTTTGAAGCACCTATATTTTCTGTTTTTAATCAACTGTGGTCAAGGCATTGATGACACAGACAGCATATCACCATAAGGTTATCTTTTATTAGAGATCTTATATTTCATTTCCCCAAAAAGATATAAAACCTTCCAAGAGAAAATATCAAAAACCTTCCATTTAAATCAGTTTGTTTCAGAGACACAATGAACAAGAAAAATCAAAGACATTTAAGATAAGGGAATGTAAAAAAATCTCAATACAGGTACAACTCTGGTCTGGAAAGTAAGTACAATGTTTGAAACCATATCTTGAACAGCATTTTCTTTAAATCCATATTTGTGGAAAATAAGGATGCTTGGATCTCTTAACCACCAGTGCAGCTATGAAAATTAGAAAAAATGTAAAAGAACATGATTAATTGGTGTATATATACTGAATGCACAGAAAACCAAAAATGTCACCAAAACTGCAATAATACAATTAAAGTATTGGGTAACCATTCACAGGAGGCATGGAAAAAAAGCAAGAGCCCAATCTTGAATTGATCACCTAGGCAAAATCTCTGTTTGCTGACTTTGGTGGAAGTTTTGACTGAGATTAGGAGTTCAACATTGGGCCCCAAATTGACTCAAAGTCATAATTTACCATAACTTATAACTTAAACAGAATGCATTTAAGTTTTTCCCTCTGATAAAAAAATTTAAATTACTAGAACAAAGCAGAAGTCTGCTGGTTAAGAAGTATTCAGGCATTATAATTGTACAGCTGGTAACAAATGAAAAACTGATACAATACATTGTTTAATTATATTGAAACAGATCCTTTGGAAACAAGTCCAACAGGCAAGAATACTTTAAAATTTATTGCATCAAAATTTTAAATTTTCTGCTTAACAGAATTTAAGACATTATTTTGAATATCCTCTTTCCACAGAATGCACAGAGTGCTCTGAAGATTTCTCATCTACATATTCAACAAAAATAGAAAATGTTACTACAATTTTCTGCTGGTAAGCCTAAAGACTGTAAATTTCAACTAAAAAGGGAGAAAAATTCAAATACTGTAACGAAGAAAACTTACAGTACATGTTTATTGCATGAAAACATCAATTTTCTGTTCTATATACTCTCAAATATAATTCCCACTTTTCATAAATGGTTAGTGGTCAATATATCCTTGACATAATTCACACCAGATTCTGCTAAATATTCTACTCTTAAGTACAAAATATTTAGCAGATTGAACTAAATTATGAATTATGCAATCATGATAAAGAGAGATCCAAACGATGACAGTACATACAAAAAAAAAGGTAGGTAATTTAATTTTATGTTTGAAATTGGATGTATGGCTACAAGATATAAATTGATATACCACAGCACCAAAATTACCTAATTAAAATAGTACAGCAGTCAATTTTAGAGTTAGCAGACAGTACGTCTTTTTCAGTTAAGAGGATTTATCATCTGTTAATATTAAAGAAAATCACTGATGGATGCATAAATAAAGCCTAAGCAAAATGAAGTCAGAGGTACAAAGATTAAGGAAGATCAGTAAAGGGAATAATACTCAGACACAAATTAGTATATTTTAATTGTAAACAGTAGCTGTATTCAGGGAAATAGAATTTTTATACTCACATGGCTTCAGCACTCAATGCAAAATACTTGATATGGTGAAAATGAAGTGAGAGGAGTAAGATGCTATTCCTCAATAAGGTGAACATTGGCAACATATGTAAGCATGATTATTAGGTTTGAAGAGTGGCATTTTTAAAATAAAGGCACGTGATTCTCAATGTACAGTTTACTACAATCTGTGAAATGCAAATACACTATATGATGGGTTTTGCAAACTATGTCTTATACACTATCAATTCTCTGCATCAAGTTGCAGTTTCCTTGACAGTGGCTGAATTTGAATATTACAATATTCCTTATTCTTCCAATATTTTGTTTTATGACATTGTTTCAGTACATTCAAATAGTCAAAATGTTCAGAACAACACAGCACAAATTTGGTGCCTGAGGACATAGATCAGAGTGTGGCCAGCATGGTCAAATAGAAGAGACATAGTTTAAGTATTATATAAACTACTCTTTCCCCCAAAACAGTGATGTGGACAGTAAAATAGTAACGGGACACATTAAAAAATAAGGCACATTTATCTTGATATGGTAATCTTGATATAGAAAACCCATTTCAGAGAACATCAGTATCCAAATGAGTTTTGTAAAAAATCTTGTATTCATGATTATTACAGATTTACTTTTTTATTGTATATGATAATGGAATAATTGCACATATCCCAATGTGTCAAGTAACAAAATGGGACTTTTATTAAATATTTCTATAATTTTCCATTGCAGGATTAATTTGAAAATCTCTCTTTTCTTAAACTATGAAATTCACAAAGTGATGGTAGGGCAAAAAGTGTTAAAAACTACCATCACTTACAAGACAAAGTCTCCCGTCTTTCACTTTACCACAGAATTCAAATCTCCATCCCATAGAATAAATTGAAATTCAATATGGAATAAACTGAGATTACTGTCACTTATATAAATGGTTTCAAATATTTGGACATTAGCTATTACACAAGAGCTTTTTATTCTATTTAAGTTCCAAGCTTTATTAGGGATTTCAACATTGCAATTATTTGTATATAAATTAATCAAGGCTCAGCAAAACAAGTCATTTAATTCCACTCCCTCTCCCTTCAAAAACAAAAAACCCCAGAAACCATTAATTATCATTTAACCTGAGATTCAATTTGTTGTCGAGAGGTTAACATCCTTAGAAATTTCTTCATGTGTTGCGTTAACTTATACTGATGTTGGTATTTTATGTAAAAACAAAAAAGTTGTTTGCAACATGGCTATTCACTGTGTTGGTCAAAAAAATAATTATAGAATGCATGTTTTCTCACAGTATCCAGAAGCTGGAATAACAATGTGCTTCTTTATTGCACGTCAAACTTAGAGGAAATATAACTGCAGATTCCTCTTCACTATATGAATATTAAAGCCAGGTTTCATCTCAGTCGAATCCGGAACGTATTTATCTCCATAGAACTCATATTGATCTCACTAATATTTCTGGCATCTGGAGGCGAATGCATCAAAGATAAAGATGTAGGTATAAGACTTTCAATGATTAGCTTATTAAAGAGTTTGTGCACCTTTATCTGAAAAATACAAAATTAAATAAAAGTCAATGATATTTAGAAAATTTAATACTTTAAAATTGGCTTTCAAACTTGTAACTAAGGGCTTGTCTACATGATATAGCAATGCGCATTATGGCTGTATAAATTCTAATGCACATTAGAGTACTGCACACTAACTGGCCCGTATTGACCCTGCTGGTGTGCATTACAAGTTCCCCACTATGCATTAATGTAGTGATGTTTGAATGTGCACTAAGGAACTTTTAGTATGCACCAGCAAGGTCAACAGAGGCCAGTTAGTGTGTGACACATAGTGTTCATTGCTGCATCATGTAGATAAGCCGTTAGTTACTGTAAAATTGGCTTTCAAACTTGTATTGCATTTGTAATTACTGTACACTGCAGAACCGTGTAGACAAGCCCTAAGTTAACTTAATTCTAAACCGTTATAATGATCATTATGTCACATCTCATTACAGGTAACAGCATGCATGACAGAGAATCATAACACCAAAGTCATTGAAAATTCCTAACTGACCATATTTAAAATGTTATAAGTTATGCTAAAAAGAACCCATTAGACACTAGTCACTGTGTCACATTTGAAAGCAACTAATTAAAATGTATCAATACATAGGAGGTTTTATTATAGCCATTATGTTTGGCAATATTATAATGAAAATTTTAACCAAGAAAACATTTAATCTTGCTCTACTAACCTTCCAGACAATCCTTCAGTAAACTACTTCCAGGTTGGAGTAAACCTACTCTGTGAATTTTATGGATTCATTACCACCAGACAAAATTCTATGACCCACCCACCCAAATATGATTACATAATCAAAGAATCAGAGATGGTAAATTCATTAATGTTTGTGAAGTGTTCAGATACCACAGAGATGTGGGCCATACAATTACCCAGAGACACAGAGAAGTTGATAGAAATGCTTGGGTTGCTATGCTGTTTGCTGCAACCTTCAAGGCAGCATTCACATGAGAGAATTCATATTTATGTTAACTAATCTTATGTGCAGAAGACAAATACATTTAAAACTGCATAATATAAGTATTTCTGTAGTAAAATCATTTTAAACAAAAAGCTACTATTTGAAATCATATTTACAGAAAGTTAATAAGACTGAACTCCAGCCCGGAAGTTTATGGCAATGTTTTACTAGGGTATTTTTACTTGCGAATACCAAATTAATCTACACACATCAGAATCTTCATATAGTTGTCAAATATAGACCATGTTACTTGGCTTTCAAAAACATTAAATCACAAGCATCCTGAAAATACTGCATTTTAAAAAATTAAATAAATAATTGTTCAACCAGAATTCATACCATAACTATTTTAAAGCATTTTAAATTAAGCATGTATGCAAAAATTACCTTGTAAGCTAAAAATCCTCTAATATTTCAACATACCTTTCCCTGAGTAGTAGAGCATAATAGCCCTGTGTCTTTGTTTGAAAATTTACAGTCAAATCCTTTTCTGTGAAGGATCAAGGCTGCTTCATCAGATGGCCCAGAATCTGCCTGCAAACACACAAAATTTAAGTGTACCTTGGAAACTAAATGTTACAAACAGGAGACTTTTAGAACCTCAGACTAATCATTAGCATTTGACCTCTGGGCCACTTATGTTATGAATACCATTCTCCCTAAGCCGACAGAACACATTTCATGTAATAGTTGTAAAAAGACGGAATGTGCAAGAATTTTCTTTATTTTTAAAGTATCTTAAAAACCTGGTCCTAAATGTAAATGCACTGGTAATAGTTGTATTAACAGGCTTCCCAGAATAAGCAAGGAAGTAAAGGCTTCATAATTATGCAAGCACACCTCCAGGTTTAATTACTGACCATGACTTTGGTCCCTGCCAAGCTTTAATACTTTAGGCTTAGAAACCTAGCTACTAATCAGTTACAAAACTTACTAGAGACTATGACCAATAATGTACAACTATGAGATTACCTGTGCAGGTTGGTACATGGGCCCAGAACCCACAAGAGGGAATATGCGAGAATTCAGGTACTCACTGAAACTCAGTTGTGTTTGATCTAATATGTAAAGACTCTTCAAGTAATAATCACCACAATTACTTTTACTAATTGCTTATATTACAGTAGCATAAAAAAGCCTCAATCAGAACCCGTCTTGCTAGGGAGTCTACAAAAAGAAAGAGACAATACAGCTGTCTGGGATATAATTTCACTTCCATGAAAAATTCCCAAATTGGAATGAAAAGCCAAAACTCCATATTTTTTCATGGACGTGAACTTCTGCAAAATTTTGGTTCAGAAATGAAACATTCTCCCAGTGCTCCCAAGGAGCCTGGCTGGCTGCAGAGGAGCCAGATGACCAAGCTGGCAGGATACACGGCTGGAAACTGAAGGACACCTGCCTGGTTTTCATCAAAAGTTTCATAGAAATCAACACATTTCCACAGAACATTTTGATTTCAATGAATTGGTGTTTACTGAAGGGAAAAACTTTGCACTGGAAAATTCCTGACCAGCTTTAGCAGAGTGTACCGGCTTTAAAGAGCTTATAAACTCAGATGACAAATCACGCAGGAAAGGGCAATAGACAGGAAAACACCAAAACATGTAAAGTTTTTATGTACAAATATACTTTTTGTGGCCACTGAGCCTAAGCATTTGGTACTATCGAGTATTGGCACAATTTTAGAGCTAATCAGAAATTTTCTGACAAAACACTTTTCCACTGAAAGATGCAGATTTGTTGACAATTAACTTTTTTGTGGAAATGTGTAGATTTTGGTGAACCTTTCAATGGAAATCAGGCAGGCAATGGAAACTTGCCTAGTTTCCTGCCAGCTCAACCACCTTCTTGTCACCTCCACACAGCCCACCAAATGAGTTGCCACAGATTCATGGTGCCCAGGTTTCCTGGCTCTGTCCTTTAAGGGCAAAAGATTTTTTCAAAAATTGAACATTGGTCATGGGTGGGAAAGACTGTTTTCCAGCTAGCTCTAAACAAAACACTTCTACTAATTTCACAAAATCAGAGTCAATTCATTCTTTCTTTCATTTAGTTCTTCCCCATTAAGTATTTCTATTAATGTAATCAAAAACAGATTGTAAGTCAACAAATGCTGCAAAACACGAGATTTACACTTAATGTGTTTATCAAACAATAAAATATGAAAGTACAGTCATTTTTAGAGTAACCATCCTACAACCATCCTGCTATTCAATAATTAAGTCCATGCATTCTATCCAGTTTTAAGATCAATGAACCTGTACCATATATTTTAGCAGGAATGTCAGTACACTTTCACCCACTTTACAAAGGAGTGGAGGTATAAAAGGAAAGGGAGGGAATGCATAAAGACAACTTGTCCTTCAACTGAGCAGAAGGGTATCTGATAAGCCCCTTCCATTTCTTGCCATTTGAACACAAAAAGTGGTAGCATTTGGCCTTCAAGTACGAGATTAATATCTGGACTGCAACAGTTACTGAGCAGTTGGTCTGCAACTGATTGCCAAATTGCTAGGTGGCACATATACTTCCTGCCTCTGATAACTAAGAAGAAGGCTGCTCGTAATAAGAGCCAAGAGTTCTAACAAGTTTGCTTCTTTGCTGACTTCCTTGATGAGCTCAGCCTGGGGCTGTAAGACCCACAGATCTTCTCAGCATAGGTTTGAAGCTTTTTCATTATGGTGGGTACATCAAGTTCAGAATACTAAGAAACTATTATTTCAGAATATACACAGGGCCTCACCAAATAGGCAAAGCTATGGATTAGCTGCAGGAGAGACCTCTGAGGCGAAGTCCAGAGAAGCAAAGAAAGTGGAAACTACCTTCACTACCTTCCTATCAAAATTTTTCACATTGTCAGGTGCTAGACTGGTCTACTAGGGGCTGTGGAACAGAAAAAAGAGGAGTTTGGGTGATCTGTGGAAAAATAACTCCAGATCCAGTCCAACGGCTCAATGCACATGAATTACTGTGACTACAGCAGAGGGTAGCTTCTGCTTCATAGCTAGCTTTTTTCCTTGACTTTAGTATGGCTTTTGATACTGTCCCACATGATCTCCTCATAAACAAATGGTAGAAATATAGCCAAGATGGAACTGCTATAAGGTAGGTAGATAATTAGTTGAAAAACCATTCCCAGAGAGTAGTTATCAGTAGTTCAAAGTCAAACTGGAAGAGCATACCTAGTGTGGTCCCGCAAGAACGGATCCTGCTTCTGATTCCATTCAATATCTTCATCAATGATATAGATAATGGCAGAGAGAGAAATCTTATAATGTTTGAGGATTATAACATTATGGTAACATTATGGTAGGGGTTGGAAGTGCTTTAGAGGACAGGATTAAAATTTAAAATGATCTGGACAAACTAGAGAAATGGTCTGAAGTACATAGAATGAAATTCAATAAAGATAAATACAAAGCACTCTATACTAAAGAGTTCAGCAGTCAGATTACAGGTTTTGGGAGCTATACAATGATTCCCCTCCACTTTGAGCAACTTAAAGCCTTCTGGCAAGTCAGATTTCTGGCTGAGGAGCAGCCAGTGGCAAGGCACAAAAAATTTGACAACACAAATAAAAACAGAAAATGAAAAACAGAACAATATAGAAGACAATGAGAGCAAACAAGAAAAAGCAGTCATACAGCAACAATGCTAGATGTAAGGGGTACCATGAGTGTGCGAAAGGGGGTGGGGAAACAGAGTAAATGACATTTATCCATCAAAAGGAAACTACAACAAAAGAAGATTGGAAACGACTGATCCAAGACACTCAAATTCAACCATCACTGTACTGACAAAACCCACTGTGAATGTGGATCACCTGCAATAATGAAGATCAGGTTGAGCCTAAATCAACTCATTGTCATGTTTTGGGTACACCTGAAGATTCAGTTATTGAAGAGAAATTGCCACCACAGCCAGAGATTCAGTCAATATCCTTGATACAAATACCCTTTGCTGGGTGGAAAGACAATACCATGTCCCAACTGGCTTCCTTGCTCAGTTAAGACTAAATGCATTTTCTATGAGACTCCTGTTATCAAGATCTTGAGGATGGAGGGCACTAAACCAAGTACTACAAGAAAACAACTATGGCATTCTGGATCACCTTATTGGTAAAACATCACCTCCCATAGCACAGTGTCTGATAGTAGAATAAAATCCCAAGCATTCCTTACTGACTGAAAAGATAGAAAAAATAGTGTAACTGATACCAAGTAGAACTTGAGCTTTACTTGAAAGTTCCTCATTGAAAATAAGATCATTAATTACTGAATTGTGTGTACATTGTAGAATAGTATTAAACAGGTATACTGTGTTTAGTACATTTGTGAGTCAAGAATTTTTTTCTATATTGTTTATTAGAATAAACTCATTAATATATTATTGACCAAAATAATAAGAATAAATGGGATAAAAATAATCAATATTGAGTTTCTCACTATGAAATACCACACTTAGTATTAATTCAAAACATAATTTCAAAGTTAATTAAGTTATACTCAGAAAACTAGACAAAACATTTTTGTTTTGCACACAAAACAACAACGTCTGTGTAAAGAGCAGGTTAGAGAAACATCATTGAAAATTCATAGTGCAAAAGCCTGACTTCCTATAGGGGTGAAGTGATGCTAGAAATGACAAGCCAGTCATCCAGTGGACTTATCTTGTAGTCATCTGCATAACAAATGATGGTATGAATATTTCAACTCAGTTTTAAATTAAAAATTATTGTAATTAAGAATTTGAATCTATTAAAATATAAATATATTAATAAAAACAATTACATGGTAATGAATGGAGTTCAAGTAAAGTCTAGGCATGTCTATGATTTAGTAATCATATAGGCTATGCCTGCGCTGCAGAACACTTGCTTCAGCATGTAGGGAACGTGTAGCTAAGACACCACAGCGAAATGCAAGCTACATCCACACTGCAGTGTATAGCTACATAATGCAGTGAAAGTCTCTCACAGGAGGGACGCTGCAGGAAAAGGTTCTGGCAACAGGTAGCTGCCAGAGCCTTTCCCTAAAGCCTCCATCCTAACAGAGTCTTGCACTGCACTGGGAGTCAGGGACTGGCACCGCTTGGGCATATAGAGAGCTGATATACGTGTCTTTCCTCGCTTAAGCAGTGCTTCACCATCTACATGACTATTTATACCTGTGCTGGGGGATTAGGGGTGGTGCAGTGTATGAACTCTACAAACTGCTGCAAGGACTGTGCAGTGTAGACATACCCTTGCCTAAAACTATTTGTATATATCCAGCCGACCAATGTGTAAAGGAGTGTAAGTAGGTCTAATTTATACAATGGGGAGGTGTAAAAGTCGCCTTCCCTCTACTTTAAACTATACCTCCTTACACCACATCAGCATGTAAATTAGACTGAGCGTAATTAGGTCTAGGGGAGTGACTGAGTGTAAGGGAATCAAACTTACAACATTTCATACCTCACTTATGAATTTGGCTTGCTATGATTAATGTATGAAAACCTACTTTACTCTTCTCAGCCTTCAATAAAAATTA